TAATGCTTATTTAGAGGCCAGTAAATATAACAGAACTCGTTTCAATATCTGCTTCCAAACTATTTATTTATTTCTTTTTCAAAATTCAAATTTCATGTTCAGCATACAGTTGTGGAAAGTTACGAAATTCTTGAAAGGCAAAATATGTGCTTATTCCTCACGGTCACTCAACCTATTGCATTCATCAGTGGGATCTGCCTGCAGGGCTCGCCATTTGACCCTGACGAAGGGGGCGGAGAATGTTTTCTGCTTTCACTATTCACACGGCAAACGGCATTTTTCGCATTTCCCTGACACATGTTCCGCTCGCCTAGTTTCTGCTTATATTTTTTATTGCATTCTTCCTGCACTTTCATTTCCTCACCTCACTTGAAATGTTTCCCTTAATTAAAAATTGGCTCATGTGCTTGCGGTGGGTCTCTCCTCTCCTCTCCAGGTCGAGACATTAGTTGTTAATAAATCACACACCACAACCACACCTCCTCGTACACCCATTTCCATTCCCGGACAGAAGCGGCAGCGAAAACGCTTACATAATTTGTTAGGCGCGTCCAAGTACGAGCCACTAAAAGCAATTCTCTGTTGAAGTAAATACCAAATCGTATTTCATGCCCGGGGCCCGACAGCGAAGAGAGAGACATATGCAAATCACTATGGCTGTATGTACTTAAGTATGTTTTGGCAGCAAAATCCAAGACTTCCAGGACACACAAGGAAACAAAAATATACAAGAATATACATAATATATATACCAGTTAGGGGAGATACTTTACATGGTTTATGTGTGCTATTTCTCTGGTTCTTCTGGATTCGTTTTCTTAGCATATCCAATAATTTTGTATACTGTTTATAAATTGTTGTTTTTGTGAGATTATACTAACTGGCTGGAGTTCAGGTGTCTCCCGCACAAGCCTTAAGTTGATGTTTCAGAATAACTTCCAAAAATCAGAATATTATTTGACCTATTACTTGAAACTATGTTAAATCAATAGGCATTGAGGATAAATACAAAGATTGAATATACTTTCCATATCATTTTAATACTGATTATCCGCGATGAAAACTGTCATCCAAATACGAGGATAGAAGTGGGAAAGTGAAAGATAAGGCCCTCAACTCAATTCAAATTAATTGAAGTTCAGAAGTCAGAACTAGAAACTCCGACATCAGAACTAGTTCCTGCCCAACAGTTGTGGCGGTGGGGTGATGTATTATATTTTTTGTTCACCTTTCTCGCTGCCTGAGACCGGAAGCGGAAGTGTGCACATTGAGAAATGGCGAAAGGCCAAAGAGCTGACATCTAGAACGGTGTGTACAGACCCGGCTGAGTTCTTGTCCTAGAGAATTCCGAAAACTTGCAGCGCGGCAAAGGCGATAGGCCACTTAATACCCGCAAAAGTTTTTTCGCGCTTCCGCCGGAAATTGTCATGGGTGGAAGGCAAAAGATGGGGGAACATGCTCAGATCTTACTCAAAATGCACAGCGAGACAGTCAGGAAATGCCAAAAGAAAACTCATTTTCTTTTGAGACACGCGCTCGCCACTAGAAAACATTTGAAAGGAAAATGGATGACTTAAAAAGAAATGTGAACACAAATAGCAGCAGAGGCCTTTGAGCAGCTTGCTGCAAATATTGTTGCCCAAGTGCTCGTCACTCGTCGTGCTGCACAAACAGCAGCAGCAGAAAGAGAGAAAGAGTGAAACAGAAACAGAAACAAAAGCAAAGGCAAAGCGAAAGGCAAGCTCGTTAAAATTACAAATAGAAGGCAAGTGGCAGAAAAGTACGCTCAAGGACGCGTCGGCGTCTTACAGCACCCAGTGAGCTGTGGCCCCCACCCAACCAGCCACACAACCACCCACACAACCACCCAGCCATCCATCCATCCAACCCTTCGTAATCGCCTCATGTTGTATGTGGCATTGTGTGTGTGACAGTCATGCAAAGCGTTGAGGCAGGACGAGGCTGCATTTGAACTTATCATGGCATCAGAAAACTTGCGCTTCAATTACGAAATGTTGTGCCACACGCCCCACAGTCCGCCACGGCCTCCACCTCAGACTCAGGACTCAGGAGTCCATGGGGCGTGGCGGAAGTGCATGCGTGTTTGCCCCTGAATTAGCCAAAAACACAAAGTTTTGTTTTGGTTTTCACCTTTTTTGCTCCCATTTGAACTGTTGCACACAGGGCGAGCGAGGGGCTTTAGTTGGAAATTGTGCTTGTGCTGACATTTGAAGGTCAGACTCCCTTCTGGCACTGACAAGATCTAGACAGGAGCAGGGTTGATTGCGGGATTGCTCTGCCAAGAGAAATTTTGGTAATCATGTGAGTTTCTGACTGCCACCTGGCCTTGGTCCAAGCAATTGTAAAAGGAAAAAGGGAATTTGCATTTAAATGAAATACATTTTTGGGGCAGCTTTTATAAGAGAATAAATAATCCCAAAACTGCTCAGCTACTGCTAAAGTAGCTTTCAGAACTCGATACGTAATGCAACCGAAAGGATGCCGCCTGCGTTTCGCTCAATTAGGCCACAAATTAACGGGCACCCAGGGTTTGCAGCCAATCGGCCGGCCGAAACGAACCCAAATGAGACCCCAACTCGTGCGAGCAGTCTCCGAGAATTTATGCCGACAAATTATGCACATTTATACCAGCATAAAAGCGAATGGGAAATGACGCAACCATCCCAGGGAGTACCAGGGAGAAGCCACTGCCAGATGGATAGCCATGGAACGAGTGGCTCCGGCCTGGCTTGCAGCAAGTGCACTTGCGAGGGCCAAAAAGCACATAATAAACTTATAATGCGTGACAGGATGCGTGTCAGCAGGACCAGAGGGTGAAGCAATAAGTACTGGTTGCTCCTCATTTGGCACTCCATGCATCTTAATTTCCGCTTTCTGATGGCTTATATATATATCCCCATAAACTCTCTCTCGCTCCCGAATCCGAACTCGATTTATGTGTATTGCATTTTTATTCAAATTTAATTGATATTTGTTTGTAGTCATAATAACGATGTCAGACTTAATTTAATGACATTGCGTATACGCAACTACGCCGAGTACGCACACACACATAAATATGAGAGCAGCTGCCAGCAAGACAGAAAGTGTCTCCCCGTTGGCCTCCAATTGGCGTCGCTGCAGTAGACAATGGCGGCTATAAAATCGTAATAATTTGACCAAATTTCGAGAGCCACTTGGTTGTGGCAGTCAATATTGATTGCACCGAAAGCAGATTGGCAAGCAGAGTTATAGTTTGGACTATAGTTTGAAAACAAACTAAAAATGGCACACAGATGAAAATTGTAGGGATAAGATGCAAATTAGGGTACGCACGTGTAAGGAGTGCTGCGATTAACCAATTTTCCCTCGCCACAGAAACCTTTCATCAAAGTGCGGCTCTCATGACAGGCGTCAGTTCCGCTGTTGTGTGCCGCTTTCTGTTGGCCTGGTTAATGAAGTTGTTAAATCTGAAAATATTTGAACAGAACCCTTGGTACTACTCTCTCCCACTTGGATGTAATTTCATTATTACACCCCACATGCCCTACAAGTAAACGAGCAAACGAGCAAACATTAACCAAAAACACACGCACAGAACTGTTGCATGCCGCTGGTTGTTTGCTGCTGCTGATGCTGATGTTGTCGATGCCACAGATAAGACATGCATTATGACGATATAAAAAATATGGAAAGTGATGTGCGGTACAGCGTCGGGGTGGGGCAGTGTTGGGGTGCCACTCGAATGACATAATCGAGGCTGCAGTTTCCGCACTCTCGACAGAACTGGTTCATCCGTTGTAGGTAGATGTAGTGCTGCTGTGCTGTTGGGCTCTCAGACTCCTTCCTGCCATGATGACATGACACACGAGTCACAGCTGATGACTGCTGGAAGTACGACGAGTATTCATGCACCGCCCTGGGCACTTCTCGCCATTATATAACAAAGTACGTAGCTGAGCGACTACCCGCCTCTCTATCTATGTGGAAAAAGTTCCTAATTAGGCGGTCGAGTGTGTGAGTGGTTGGGTGGGAAAATGGGGAAAAATGTGGGAGAAAAGCTGCAAAGTTTTACGTTGTCGTAGCTAATTGCATTCGGAGTTGCTGCTGGTGTCTCCCACTGCCTCTGCTGCTGCCGCTTCTGCTGATTATTATGGGGAGAATGATTAAGCTGACGTTGATTAGCTTTTAGTTGCTATCTCCTACCCACATTGGGAAGAGTTGTACAAACTTTTTTGCCTTTATTTATTGGCGAAAAAAAGTTTGCCCGTAACTAGGAAATGAAATGGGGAAAGGAAAATGGTTTGAATGTGTGTAAAGCTGTTAATAATTAGCATAACCTTTTGAATATATGCGGGAGAGTACATTTCGATAATGAATTGCTTCAACAATATTGATAGATCTTACAGTTGATAACTCTACACTGCACACGGAGGTCATTAGTTCAATTCCCTTGCCAACGAGCGAACAGGAAACTTCGCAGCTGCGGAAATAACTTTCTCTCTGCTGCTTCCTGGCCTAATGCGAATTCCCCAAAATTGTTTCCCAGATAGAACCCAGAGCTCCCATCCTTGTGGCCCACTCATATTTGAAATTTTTGCAGTGAGAATTCTGTTGCAGTTCGCTGAATCGAATGATGCAGCTGCAAAACTGCGTAAGTTGAGGCATTTATGCGGAGAGGAGAGGATACACTTTTTTGCTCACGTCTCATTAATTTCCACTAGCACTGCAGTTGCACGGGGCATGCCATGTGGCATGTGGCATGTGGCACTGTGTGTGGGCGCTTATAATTTATTGTATGTTTGCTTTTCACTTGAGCGCATGCCAAATGTTGAATACAAAATGAGTGAAAGGCAGCTCGGGGTCCGCTGTACGGGGTCTACCGCACGCACCGAATGTCGTGCAACTTGCCGTGGCTTATGCCAATAAAAGTGGCAAAGATGCAGCTGACTGAAAGGAGCACACACACATATACACATTCTTGTGTGCTCTTGCTAAATTTATGCGCTGCAGTTGTTTTGGGTAAACTGCAAAAAGTAATCTAGCCAAGGCAACTCCATGAGGTTTAGTGTGTACTGTACAGTGGGGTTGGAGGTCTGCTTAACTGGAATTAGCTAAAAATAGAGAAAGTTTTTGGATTATATATGTGTTGAGGATATATACTGCAAATAAAATGTGTAGCATTTACATTTATCATTGAACGAATAATAATTCTGTAGATATTTTGTTCTCGCCTAAAATGATAAACAGATTAACATAGATACCAAATGCTGTAATCTTAGGTTTATTGATTTATAAATTGCTATCTCTGAAATACAAAAAATACAAAATATAGTCAGGCATAAAAGAATCTCTAATACTATCTGTTCAAGTACTCGTCGTACTTCCCTTTCTGTAAGACTCACCCAAAAAGCATTAATTGGCTGCCATTGTCCATTGTCCCCAGCAGCTGGCAAGAGTTTTCTTTTCGTCTTGAACTTACAGCAGCAGCAGCACTTGGATGAAGGAGAAGTAGAAGGATGTCAGACGGTCCGGTCCGATGCTTAAGCACAATATTATTATTATTATTTCTGCCTGTCGAATTTTAAGTAAAAAGTTTACCCCCAAGCATCCGCTGGATGACGGCTTGTCCCTTGCAGTTGTTTAAACTTGGCTCCAAAAAGGATGAAAAAGAAAAATTACGGGTAAAAAAACTGTAGGAGAGAGACAGAGAGAGAGAGAGAGACAGAGAGAGAGAGAGAGAGAGAGGAGCAACTCAACAGCACTTGAACAAGTTTTGCCTTTCCTTCTCTGTGGATCTCTATGGCCAGTTCTATCTTCAGTGCGCCACAGGTAGGGTAGGGCCAGAGACTGCAGCTGCAGATACTTGGATACTAGGATTTAGGATGCATACAGACATATACATTCACAGCCCGCCTGCTGTGCGCTGTTTGTTGAACTCAACTTGCAACTTTGTTGCCCTGGCATTTCGTCGTTTTCCTTTTCCTTTTCCTTTTTATTTTTATTTTCCTTCTTGTTGTTCGTTCTCTCGTTTTTTTAGCTTTTATTTTCGCGCTGTTTGCTGTCGAATTTGTTGCTGCTCCTACTTCCCGCTGACTGCTGTCGTAGTTACTTCATGCCCCGTTGCATTCGAACACTTGCGCTGCTGCCCCGGCTGCAGCTGCAACCAAATAATATGCGGAATAAAAAAAAGCAGCTGAAATAGAGACTTTTCCTTTAGCGGCTGTTTAATTTCGAGCAACTTTCATTCACATGAACGTCCTTGGGAAGCAGGCAGGTATTTGCGACAGTTTGAATACATTTGGGAAATGTTCTTATTGCGGTCAGCGCTTAAAAACAATAAAATTAGTTAAGATTACATCTAAAAACAGGGGTTTTAGGGTTTTTTATTAGAAGAATCAGCTAGAAATAGAAGAAAACTTTAATTGGGACCGGGACTGCAAAGTAAAATGACCAACAATGCCGAAAAATCTTGACATCGATCGGGAATTTGCCCAAAAGCAGCTTTTAATTTAGCGCACAAATTACAAAATGCAATTTGACATATACATAGATGCTGCCTGAAGACTGAAGACAAAGGACAACAAAAAGAAATGTTGACGACATATTCTGCTGTTGCACACACGACAATGGGGACAACAGCACCCGGAGGCAAGAAACTGGAACGAAAGTCGGACGACGGACGACACACATGGATGCAGTTGGTTCCTCCATTTCCCCACAGTGCCCGGGAGCAAACACCTACAACAAAGAGCCATCAGCCTTCGAAAAAAATAACGAAAATGTCGGGGAAAACACAAGGAAAAAGCAACAGCAACAATAACCGGACGTGCCACGGTCGCCATTTGTTGCGGCATTTTGACAATTTTGCCATTTAATGTGGCGCAAGCAGAGACGCAGAGCAGTGGGTGCAGGAGGTTGGCCCCAGCACGTGGAGGATGGCACGGCAGCATGTAAGATATTTAGGAGGCAGAGAAGCTGTGGCAGTGGCAGAGAGGCTGTGGCAGCGCTCAGTATACATATGTACATATAAGGCTGGGCTGGGGACACAATGAGAAATGAGATGTCACCGATTAAAGCAAAGGGGGGCTTAGCCTTAAAAATTAGTTTTTCCAGTTCAGTTTGGAATACAATAAATTTAACATAATGTTTAAAGCGACTGCCGATAATGCTTGGGTACATTAAAGTTGCAAAAAGTAGCTTTAAATTATTAAAAAATATGTAAATATTTAAAGGATAACAAAATGAAATTACATTACAGTACTAAAAGTGCTACCCCATTGCACAAGAGATGCTTTCATGTATTCTAAAAGTCGAGTAAATTCCATGGTAAAGTTCTTGTGAATCTTGACAAATTTTGCTACAAAGTGCCGAGAATTCGTTTCCACTTTATGCGATTCCCTTTTGCATTTTCTATTACCTACCAATCCCAGCCCGCCCGTTCACCCTGCAGCTCGACTTAAGTGCATTTTGTGTGTGCTTTTGCATGCTCTAAAACCCTAGTAGGAAAACAAGTTGTACTTGTTCGGGTTGTTGGTTGACTTCACTCACAAATTTGCTCAGATTTCGTGTACGCAACGTTGCACATTTCGTTGGGGTTGCCCCTCAGCCTGGTAATCTGGCAACAAAACACAAATGTTTATTGATTTGTTGCTAAAAGTTGATCTTGCTCACCATTCTTATTCGCTGGCATTTTCTCCATTTTTGTCGGAGTAAATTTGATTTGATTTTGCAGACGGAAATCCAAATGCCACTCAGCTAAAAGTTGCTCTTGGCAGTGCCGAGCAAAATGTATTTGCGGTTGGCGTTGGCAAAAACTGCAAGAAAAGCATATCCGAAATAGCATTGTCATTGCTGGCTGGCTGCCTGCTGCCGATGTTTATCCAACACAGCTTATCCGTTGTCATTTCTCTGTGTATATTTTGATTTAATTTGCAATGTGCTAACCAAAATGCATTTCCTGCTGGGGCGGACGTTCATTCAATTTGCCAAATGTCATGTGGGTTGGTGGCCAATCCCCCAGCTGCCATCGCAAGTGCATTAGCTGACAGCTGACAGTTGACAGACAATTCTGAATTCTGCTACTGCCACTTTCTGGACACTCACAAATTAGCCCACATAATGTCTTCTATGAGACTATGACACTCTGAGTGGTTGTGTTTTGCGTTAATTTAGTGTTGACATTTATGGAGAAATGCACTTTTAACTGCTGCTAAAATCCAGCACTGATTGATGTCTCTGTCTCTTCATTAACATTTAGCATATCAAAAACTGTTTCTCGATGATTTGCTGGCTGCAGCGCCCCAAAAGTTAAAAGTCAGAGGCTCTATTGTTTTCCCGCTGATATTTAGCAGCAGCATCCCGTTTGGGTGTTTAGCTCCACAGATGCAAACGCATAGATAGCATGTCTGCAAGTCCACAGCTCGTGGCGAGTGTCCGGGGCAAGATAAAACACACGGAATACGAGTGCACTTCGAGGCGGGGTAGTGGCCAGGGAACGAGCTAGCTCTAAAATTGTATGACCGAATGGAGCTAGGAATTATAAATTTAGTGGTAATAATTGTACATATTTTTTAAATATTAAAGTAAGTTCAGCGACCAATGCTATAATTTCTAAACAATTTTGATAATCGCCAATCAAGTTACAGGCGGAAAAGCAGTGGAAATTTCTTAGAAATTCTCGTAGAAATTAAAACATTTATGTCAAAATGTACAAAATGTCTTCCGCTCTGTTATGGAATGTTTTAAATTCTTTGGTTTTGTTCACTAAAAAGACTAAAGGAAAGTCTTAGCAACCATATAGAGGTTTCAGTTCATCAGGAGAAAGTGGTTCCACTTTATGCATTTCTCTCATAGATGTTGCGTGGGGTTCTAAGGGTGCAGAGAGGTGGCATATGGGCACACAAAATGGCCCTATGTGTAGGCCAAAGAGGTGTGACACTGTGCCTATGCGCGTATGCGTAATGCCAGCGACAGTGCGTAGGTGTGTGTGTCTGTGTGGGGGCTATGTGGCTGCTTTGCTACTTCGCAGCTTCGCATCTGTGTAATTGGGCGTGTAATTGTGTTTGCCTTTTCACATTTAGCCAGCCAGGCAAGCTCGCCAGCCCCCAAAAGGTCACTTTTGATGTGTGTCCTCTGGCGTTGCTGCATTTCGGGGGGCTCTCCCAATTAAAATGCCGCTCAAAAGTTGCGCCCAATGACCCACAACGAAGAGCAAAAGAGCAAAAAAAGTTTGAGCCGCCAACGTGCCAACGTGTCGTAAATTATGAGCAATTTGGCTCAAATTTGACAGCTCGACAATGAGCCAGAAGAGTCCATAAGAACCGAATGATGTCCTTGGCGGGTTCAAGGCCGACACAGAAGCCCTGATTGACTTGGCCCAGTGCGAAAAGGGGCTTATTTATTTTCCAGTATTCGTGGCAGTGTGTGGCCGCCCATCCAGATGCCAGGCACCTGAGAAAGAGACAGAGACAGAGACAGAGGCGTGGGTGGCCGCACAGGTGTTCACGGGGGGGGGGGGGGGGGGGGGGGGGGGGGGGTATTGGTTCTCAAAGTAGTCCAATGCGTGACAGACAGCACAGCAGAGGAGGCGTGGCTTGGCCCTAAGTATTGTTTGCCCCTTCAATGAATGTCTATTAAAATTCACAATTTAATAGCTACAATTTAGTTGTTTCCAAGAGTTTTAAGAGAATTTATTATAATTTACACAGGGAAAATAATATCCACTGACTCCCCCAAAGTCTGCCACACTTTTTGCGTGTGCACTTCTGGTACATCAATTGTAGGCCATTCAATTGACTCATGCGTGCCATTTATAGCTCTGCAAGTACTTAAAAGTCATAAAATTCTCAACGAACGTCTCGGCATAAAGAACACTAACAAAAAATATAAACAATTTGTAATCGGCGCTCGCGGTACTGTCTGCTGGCCGCTGCTTTTATGACTCTATAAGTTTGCCGAAAAAACACAAGACGACCATTAACTTGATGTCATTTTGAGCTTCAACAATTTTGAATGAGTTCTGCGCTTGTTATCAGCGGGGGCAAGCGATGTCTCTGTCGCTGAGACCGTCAGGATTATTGCCAAATTAGGTTGGTTATATTCAAATAAATCATCGATTTGCTGCTTAAGCAGTTAAGATGTGCAATAAATTTGGTAACATTCGATTAGAGATGGCAAAAACATGAACAAAATTAATTCATTTAATTTCTTATGCAAAAAAGAGAAGAATGCTCGCGGTGGTCTTATGGGATTTCGCTTTCGATTTAAGGTCAAAATGTACGCTGATATAAATCGCTCAGCCAAGTGGCTGTGGCCATCCCTAGTTTGATGTTTGCGTTGGCATTGGCTGTGGGCTCACATGGCAGGCGGCGGCTTCCATGTTGACTACGATAAGAGTTTGTTGCCAGAAAAAAGAAAAGAAAACAACTACGAACCGAGCGGCCAATTGACGCGTTATCACCTGGGCCGACTGCTGGTACTGGCAACCGAAAACAGCTGTGATTTAGTCATAGACGAAACGTTGCCGAGTTCACCCAACTTCAAACGTCTCTGTCGCCTCTTTGCCCGGTCGCGTCGCGTAACAATCAACCACAAATATCAACAATAAATGCCAATTTATATAGTGGTGCAAAGTGCTTAAGAAATGTTCAAATGTGTGGGGCTTTTGTGGCTCTTGTGTGCCGTTTCATGTAGACTCACCGCGAGCCAAATTATACCGCTGCCAACGTTCTGCCAGCAGGTGGACCAGCAGTGCAGCTGCGCGGCCGAGGCTAATGTGGTGCGGTTCCACTGCCCCGAAGAGTACGCCCTGCTGCTGGAGATGTCCGAGCTGGGTGCCTCGCTCTACGTCAGCTACTACGCCGTGCACGGCCTGCACTGGCTACCGCGCTTCAACATCACCGAGCTGGTAAAGATCGAGTTTGACGCGTACATTTTTTGGCCGGAGAACTTCATCGAGGATCTGCTGGACGGCCTCGGAGTGGAGACGGTGACTACCATGCGCTTTCGCGATCGCACCTCGGAGACGGTGGTCACAAAGGATCTGTTCAATACGACCGATCAGCTGGATAGCACCGCCGCTCCGGGCAATATCTCAACGTGGTTGTTTGGCGCTGTGCCCGGACTGAAGAAGCTCAAGTTTGTCAGCGATGTGAAGCAGCTGCAGGAAACGATCTTCGGGGCCTTTGACAGCCTCACCGATCTGGATCTGTCTGTGAACGTCCAGTTTCTGCCGGGCAATTTGCTCTCCTCGGTCACGGGCAGCCTGGAGACGTTGACCATTGAGAGTCCCAGCATGGTGCAGTTCCAGGACCCGCTGCTGCGCGAGCTCCAGCAGCTGCGCAATCTCAGCCTGCAGCTGACGAGTTCCCAACGTGGGAGCAACGACGAGCTGCAGCCGCATCTGTTCAGCTCCATGAAGCAGCTGGCGGAGGTGCGGCTTTTCCAGGCCACCGGCCATGTCAACAGAAAAATGTTCAGAGGCAGCGAAAAGTTGCGTTTGATCCGTATCAATGGCAACTACGATCTCGAATCGCTGCCGGGACAACTCTTCGGCGATCAGGCGAACTTGAGCGTGCTGGACCTGTCCTGTAACGGGCTGAGCAGGCTCTCCGAACAGGTCTTTTATGGCCTGGGAAACCTCACAGTGTTGGATCTGTCCAAAAATAGACTAACGAATTTATCAAGGTGGGTTGTGGGCGCTGCTCTCTTTTGCCTCATTTGTCACATGCTTGTGCTGTGCTCTGCTGATTAAAAGATGGCCCTACCTCTCGCCTCGATAGGGCTCAACTTTAGAAGTTTCTATTGCCAGAGTAATTAATCAAAACAAAGAGGCTCTGTCGCTGCTGCTGCTGCTGCTGCTGGCGCTGGCTGCTGCTATCTCTTATCAGCTGTGGCAGAGCGATAGCTCAATCAAGTATTCCGTGTCTCCCAAGACAGTCGAATGGTTTGCTATCAGAGCTCCATCAATGCTACCCAGCTCCCACTCTAAAGTATTTTATTTAAAAACTTTTTCTTTCGTTGTAGCAGAATTATTTTGATTAGAGTCAACTCGCACCAACGCACACTTCTAGCTATGTAAACAGTATCTATGTGTCATAGCAATGAGCGATAAATACTAACACTTGAAGAGTGGAAACAGGAAGTAGATAATTTGGTATATGTCTACAGAGAGAGAAAGAGAGCGCACACAGATCACAGCAAACATTAAGCACATTCAAAAGTATAGACACATCAATCCGTTGTATATTAATCCCTACTTGATCTCCATTCCCCCCACCAGCACAATATTTATTCCACTCACCTCGCTAAATGTGTTGGTCTTGAACAAAAACTCACTGACTGCCCTGTCGCCGAGTGTGTTTAGGGATGTGCGCAGCCTAAACTTTATTGACATGACGAATACCCAGTTCTATGGAGCCACGCTGGTGATGAGCTTTGAGGCGATTGTGTGCACCAACGATGAGACGTGCCAGTACAAGTCGGAGGAATGGCAGTGCGATCAGCGCTGCATCTGCTGGGTGCAGCGAAACTCACGCAAACTGATAGTGGACTGTCGAGGCACCAGCCTCGCGGAGCTGCCCGTTCTACCCCACACAACGCTCGTGAGCACAGTGGTGAAGGTGAGCAACAACAGTCTGACACATCTGCCTGCGTCCAGCCAGCATGCAGGCTATGCCAATGTCAGTGCCCTGCTGTTGGGCGACAATCAGATTACCAGCCTGGGGACGGGGGCGCAGCTGCCCGTCAATCTGAGCTACTTGGATGTGCGCCGCAACCAGATTAGTGTCGTCAGTGAGGAGTTCATCACATTCCTACAGCAGGAGAACAACTCGATGACCATTTCGTTGTCGGGTAATCCGCTAATCTGCGACTGCGACGCCCTGCCGCTGCTCTTCTTTGTGCGAACGAGTCCCCAGCGTGTGGACGACATTGGGGAACTGCAGTGCAGTCGTCAGAACAAGGCTCTGCAGCAGATGGACGCCTTTGAGCTGTGCCCCTCGTACGTGCTGCTCATCAGCTGCATTGTGGGCGGCCTGGTGATTGTCGTCTGTCTGATTAGCGTGTTCTACCTCATGTTCCAGATGGAGCTTAAGATTTGGCTGTACAACAACAATCTGTGCTTGTGGTGGGTCTCTGAGGAGGAGCTGGACAAGGACAAGACCTACGACGCGTTCATTTCCTACTCGCACAAGGACGAGGAGCTGATTAGCAAGCTGCTGCCCAAGCTGGAAAGCGGGCCACATCCCTTCCGCATATGTCTTCACGATCGCGACTGGCTGGTGGGTGACTGCATACCCGAGCAGATCGTGCGCACCGTCGACGACTCCAAGCGGGTGATCATCGTCCTGTCGCAACACTTCATCGATTCTGTGTGGGCACGCATGGAGTTCCGCATCGCCTACCAGGCCACGCTGCAAGACAAGCGCAAGCGCATTATCATCATCCTCTACAGGGAGCTAGACAATATGAATGGCATCGACAGCGAGCTGCGTGCCTACCTCAAGCTCAACACCTACCTCAAGTGGGGTGATCCGCTCTTCTGGAGCAAACTCTGCTACGCCCTGCCCCACAATCGACGCGTCCTCAAGGGCCAAAAGAAACACGCAGGCCCGCTCGTCTGAGCATTGGACATGTACACATTTACTGTACTTTGTGGCTGCTCTCCGCGGGTCCTAATGAGCGTTTTTTCCTGCAGGGCCCCACCGATCCAAAGAGTCATCAGTTTCACGCGAGTACTGTGGACTGGGAAAAAAGCTTGGGAAATACCCTGAACCTGTCTCCGATAATGCCAGATTCTATTCGTTTGATATTCACAGAAAATGTCGTCGGGTGATAAAAAATCATTTATAGAAATAATAATAGTAATACAAATATATTTTAAGCTAATTTTAAATGAATAAACACCAGTCGCATCGCTGGATAGCTATTATACAATTTATTTTATTTATTATTAATAAAAACTGTATCGTGATAAGTTTCATAAAAAATGTGAAATTTTATGAAGTTTATGGATTTTTAAAGATTATTTTCGCTCTGTTCTATGTACAACTCCTGAGTCTCAGCTCAGGTCATCTTGTGCAATTTTCTAGAGCAATTAAGAACTCTGCATAGACGTCTCCAAATCCATCTCTGCAGTTCGTCCGGTTTTGATGTAAGTCCGCACTTACGTCGAAGCGCCTTTTGAATCGCCGTCCATCCAGGCGGAGGCTCTTTCGTCTGATTAATTTTCGATGACTGATCCGTTTTTTCAGCAAGCATCACAGACATAATCATTTTGTTATTCCTTGCTGTCCTTGCTGTAGTAGTAGAATGTGGCGTAAGGTTCAGAAGATGTCCAGAAGATCAGTATTAAAAACAAAAATATATTTGCTATACAATTTTTACAAATTTATTCTCTAATATTTTATTTGAGGAATTAAGGGTGTATCGTGATAAGTTTTCTCAATTGTTTTTTAATGCACATTTTCTAGATTTTACTTTTATCTCAAACCAAAGTTGCTCTTTAAAGCGTATTTTCGAACCATAATTACTCCTTAAGTCTGAGGGCTTCTTGGCCTTATTGTAATTTTCACAAAAGTCAATGAGAGTTTGTAATCAAAAACATTCCAGTGGCCCCAAGAAATTCCATTACTTTCATCCGCAATGCCTTCTTTGAAGTATTTTCCATTTAACGAACTGAAAAAGAAAAAGAGGAGCGACGTATGAGACGCATCGTACGCGTCACATATTTTATACCCGGTACTCAGAGGTTGCTAAATTTTGAAACAAACTTAATTCAGTGTGATATTGCATGGGCAATAGTCTCTGAGAAGCAGGAGTCCAACAAGTCGGACAGACAGACATGACTATTGATGCTGATCAAGAATATTACATTTTCTGTCTATTACCTTTTTCGACCACAAATTAAAATATACCCTACTTCTTCTTCGAGTACCGGGTATAATAAAAATAAAAAACCATTAAAATAAGGATTACCTTATTCCGCAATTTGAACCATTGAACCACCACGGACCGTGGAAACTATGAACGCACTTATTAGGGCAGTCCCGGTCCTCGGTAGCGAATTTAGCTCTCTCGTGTTCCCTCAGGGAGTCCCCTGCATTTCCCGAATATTCACCCAGTGACTTAAGAACAAAGCCCTCTTCTTCGCTTCCCACTATGAAGTTGTTGTATTTGGCATGGCGATAAGTGCCATTAACATCTCGTAGTTGTATGTACAACTCCTGGGGCTCAGCTGCTGTCATCAAGTGCAATTTTTTCAGCCCAATGAAAAATTCTCCACGCTGGTCTCCAAATCCATCTCTGTAGTCCCCCCAGTTTCGATTAAACTCCACACTTCCATCGAATCGCTTTTGAATGACCGTCCATCCAGATGAAGACTCTGCTGTTTGATTCATTTTTGATAGCTGATCATTTTTTTCAGCAAGCACCCCAGACATCATTTTAACCTGCTCTCTGAGGTCTGTAATTTGTGTATCTTTGTCCCTGATCTGTTCGACTTTTTCCTTGATTTGTTCGACTTTTTCCCTGATTATTTCGTCTTTTTCCTTTATTTTTTCGCCCAGGTTTTTAGTTTCAGTTCCACTGTTTAGCAACTGGCTCTGCAAATTGTTGATGGTGCCATCCAATGTGTATATTTTATCCCTTAATTTATTATTGGTATCTGCAGCCTCTTTCAGCTGGGCACAATGATCGAGGAATGGCTTGACAACTGAGAAACAATATCCATTGCATTGCTCCGCGATGCCAACTTCCTGCGCAGGGTTGCCGTGGGAGGATTCACCTTGCAGCAAAATGCAACAGAGGATTACCTTAAAGCCCGAGTTATTCATGTTTCCCTGACTCTCACACGGTCGATTCAAAACCATACTGAGTAAACTTAATCGGATGCCCAATTAAAAATATAATTTCTCTGTTTCATTTAATAATATATTTTATTCCTGGAATTGATAACACATTCATGATAAGCCATGCATACTTTTAGTTGAAAGCTATCAAGTCAGTAAACAATTTTCTTTGTGTGCTCTATATTATTTATTATATAGAATGCATCTTCGAAGTACACATATATTTTTGTTATTTCTTTTCGTTCCACATAATGTAGGACCTTACAATTTCTACAAATTTATTTTAAACTTTTTTTGTTCATGGAATAAAAAGAACAGTCAACAAACATTTTAATTTAGTTGTGAATTAATAATTAGCAAAGTGTAGGGACCTGAGAATAAATATCTCTGCTGGATTAAGAAAGGCATATTGTGGGACTTTTTCCCTTCTTGATTTATGTCCCAAATAATTTTGTCACTTTGTGTGCATATTTTTAATTAAAATTGTATGCCAGACATTTTTGGATGCCTTGTAGGAAGGCCTCTTCTCTGCTGCATTCCATTTAGGTTTTAGACAGCAGTTTTGAATAGAATGCTGACAATTTTTGTAAATAAAAAGAGATGCAAATAAATTTATGCTGTTTCGCTATGAAGAGAGTTTTTTAATTATTCTCTTCTCTTCTATTCATCCATGTCTGCATGGATGAACATTGCCTATCCCAGAGCTAACTATGGCAGTATATGTGAATATTTATGTAAATATTTTTAATTATTTACAGACACGCATCAAAATATTTGCCACTTGAAAAATCAAAGTAATGTTTCATTTTCCTTTACGTTCGATAGACTAGCTTAAAATTTATTCAGTCACACTCTTTAAGGCTCGTCAGCGTCAAACTCTAATTATCCACTTCAGTAATTGCGTTGGCCTTCAAAGCTGAATAGAGAACCATTTAAGTCCTCCACCAGGCAGAGGCACAGGCTCTGGCTTTGCACTGCCGAGCCAATTTTCAGCCAGCAATAAGTGAAAATATATGAGAGTAATATAAAGAGGAAAAGAAAGCATTTGGTCCTTTTTCAACACAATTGCCTGGCCTTTGTCTGTCGCGCCCCGTCACCCTTTTGGGTTGAGCGGGGTCTATGGGGTCTATGGGGCCTGTCGGCGCCTTTGAAGATTCATTGCCTGCCCTGCCGCTGGCCAACGTTCCGCTGTGGGCGAGTATCAAAAGGCAAGTGGAAAAACTACCGCTCAGCAAGGCACTTTATTCCAATAACTTAACGAATTCCACTGAAATAAAACCCAAGTAATTCCACCCACATGTCGAAAGATATATTATGTCTTGCTATTATTTCGAAGGAGAAACGCACTTGCTAGTGTTGTCCAGATTCCGGATTCTCCTTTCTCGTGGAAGAAACGTCTCTGCCATTAAATTCTTGTTACATGTACATATCCTGAGTCTCAAGTGGAATTTTTCCAGACCAATGAAGAACTCTCCTCGGATGTAGCCAAATCCATCTCTGTAGGTCCCTCCAGTTTCGATCAAAGTACACACTGCCGTCGAAGCTACTTTCAATGACCGTCAATGCAGAAAACATTCTGTCGTTTGATTTATTTTTGAGAGCTGATACAATTTTTCATTTATAACCTGATCCCTGAAGTCAGCAATTTGTTTTTTTTTTCCATTGTTCGACGTTTTCCTAGATTTGTCCGGCTTTTTTCTTCATTTTATATTGTCTTTTTCATTTATTGTAATTTAATTTTTTGTTCCGTTTTGAATTTGGCTGTTTAGGATGTACCTGACAGCAAAAGCAGGCAGAGGATCACCACAAATCCCGAGATATTTATGTTCTCCTACCCTCGCACTGTGGATATTATATATCCCTTTTTATACCCGGTATTCGAAGAGTAAATAGGGTATATTGTATTTGTGTGAATAACGGTTGTATGTAACGCACAGAAGGAAACGTTTCCGACCCCATAAAGTATATATATTCTTGATTAGCATCAATAGTTAAGTCGATGGAGCCATGTCTGTCTGTCCGTCTGTCCGTACGTCCGTCCGTCCGTCCGTCCGTCTGTCCGTCTGTCCGTCTTGTTTGTCGGCTAGTTCTCAGAGACTATAAGAGCTAGAGCCACCAATTTCAAGATAAAAGAAAAATAAAAACGCCATTCCGTGGGGAATGAACATATCTATCAGATCACCAAATTGGGATCCGATTGGATCATTATTATAGCCACAATGAAGAAATTAATTTGCAGTGGCCAAACCCACCCTGTAGTGTGTGGGTCTAGGGAAGGGCGGCGAGCTAACGGAGCGTGTTGGCGTGAAAAGTGTTGTAGATGTAGATGACAGATGAAGAAAAAATTTAAAATTTGACAAAATACCGCTCAGGTGCAGAGTAGTACTGAGTGCCGGGTATAAAAGTTGTGACGCGTAAGAATCATCTCACACGTCCTCCCTTCTCGTTTTGCTCGCAAATTTCTTTGTTTTTGGGGAACAAATTGAAAAGTGTCGGTATTATCCCGAACCAATGATGTGTGAACGTTGTTAATGTGTTACACCTAAAAACCTTTAAGTCCATCATTCCCCTCTCAATTGCAACATGAACACAAAGTTGCTGCTGCTGCAGTTGGCCTGCCTCATGGCTCTAGTGCTAGGTGGCAAGTCCCTGAAGTGCAAACCGCCAAAAATTAAATTCTGCAACGGCTGCAGAGATGTCGAAGTACTGTCAACGGTTGCGTTGAAGAAGTGCAAACCGGGGTACAAGATAGTCGATGGATTCTGCCAGACTGACATAAATGCCAAGCGCAGTAGCTGTTTGCCCGAAGAGGTGAAGTTGCCCTCAGGAGCTTGTCGCAAGAAAAAGAGACACTTGAAGCGTTGTGCTGAAATCTCAGAGGAATTGGCAAAGCTTGTGCCAGTCTGCAGCCCAGGCGAAACGCCCAGCGACAAGTGTCGCAAGGAACGTTAACATGCATTCAGACGTCAAAACTTAAAGCCCGACTAAGGGCTGTCACATCCCAAAAAATATAAATTAATGTCAATAGTTCTTTAATGAAAAAATGTACAATTTTTTATCGAGTTTAAGTTACTCAAACCAAAGTTGATTTTTATACCCGTTACTCGAAGAGTAAATAGGGTATAGTGTATTTGTGGGAAGAATTGGATGTACATATGTAACGCACTGAAGGAAAAGTTTCCGACCTCATTAAGTATATATATTCTTGATCAGCATCAATAGCCGAGTCGATAGAGCCATGTCTGTCTAGCTGTCGGTCCCACTGTCCTTCTGTCCGTGCATTATTAGCATTTGTATAGCCAGAATGAAGAAATTAATTTGCAGTGCATCTGCGCCCACCCCGTCCAGCAGCTTTTTTTTTATTTTTTGCACATTCTCTCACGCTGCTTCGTGAAGTGTGCGGCTAAAAGAGCGTGTTTGCGTTAGAAGTGATGCATATGTAGATGTAGAAAACATGTAAAATTCGAAAGAAACAAAAACAATAATGTACAGATATGTACATATGCATACAGACTGAGTACCGGGTATAAAAGTTGTGACGCGTACGCAGCGTCTCACATTCCTTCTCGTTTTTTTCTTCTTCTTTTGTAGTAATAGCCTCTACTTTACTTCTTTAAATGAATATAGGAAAATATCGATACCCGTGAGAAACCTTGATATCCTCTGAAATGTAAACTATTTTCTACAATATTTGTCAGTCTGCTTTCGCTTTTGTAACAGTTGCTAAATAATGACCATTGATTTCTTAACACTTTGAAGCTGCCATAAAATAATAATTTTTCCTAATATTTTTATAAACTGAAAGCCCAAGCATTAGGAGTCGTGCTCTGGGACTGCGTCTGATTGTGAGTCTGAGTCTGAATAGTTATCACAAACATCTGTTTCAAATTGCTTTTCATTTATCATAACTTTTGTGAAAAGAAACGAAAGAAAATTTGTGTTTGTCGGCCCTCTTCCAAGAGTCCCTGTAACCGACGTGACCTGATGCCAATAGTTTTTTTTTCCCCCTGCTGCTCTTAGCAGAAATTCAAATACTAAAGATGCTTGTCGATGAACTAGAGTTGACCAAAAATAGAACGGGGACTCACTCAAGTACTGATGTGTTTGTGGGAGCATCCATGACAGTGGCCCCTCTTGGCTGAGTCAGCCGCCACAGCCAATACGAGTCGAAAGTGAATCCAAAAATCATAGCTGGGCCGGAGTGTGATTTCGTGGCTCCATTGACGACGTCCCCTGCCACTTGAGCACACAAATCTTCATACATATATGTATGTACGAGTATGTATTCTGGATATTCGGAATATTATTTGCTGATACTTGCATTGTGAGAGGGAGAGCGTGGGCGTTGGCATTGGGTAACATTCGATTTTATTGCATTTTATTGCCAGCTCTTTCATCTTCTGTTGTGTGTATGTGGCAGTATCCTCGTTGCGGCTGAACTCTGCAACGTGCCATGTGGCACGTCACGGAAAATGCATTTCCTTGTCCAACACAAAGAGGGTCATTAACAAGTCCAGCGATTGGATTCGGCTGGGTTTTCCCATTGTTCTTAAGGCTGTCCACTGTCCGAATTAAGCATATTTGCTACCAGGGATTTCGGTTTGAAAAAGTATCTTCTAGAACGCAACTGACTGTTGCATTTGTTTGGCCTTAAATTCATTAAATTGATTGACAGATTTATTGGATTCCATTTCCACATATATGTATATATGTATATGGAAAGCCAGTACCGAAACTTATCATTGATTGGGTGAACTTCACGCTAGGCCAATTGTTAATATTTTAGGATATTTTTGGTGCTTGGCTTTTCTGACCAATCCTAAGCCTAGTGCTGCTGCCAGTGGCGTGCTTGATAAATGACCCACCCAGCAAAGGGGGGTGGATAGAAAAAGAGAGGACAGTAGGACGCTAAATCATAACTGCAAGCAACTGCTGATGTCTGCAGTGCCCTCATCTTTGCTACTGTTTTCCCAGCCCCTTCTGGGTGGCCTTCATATGGCATAATACCGACCATTTGTCTGGCTCTTAAATG